CTTCTAAGGCAGAGCTGCTCCAACAGTGCTTACAAAACATGTTTGGAATTGAAATTCCAAGTTTTTCAGATAATTTACCTACAGTTTTCATCTAGAATCTTTAAGCAGCCAACTGATTATAGGTGGATAACATAATTTGTTTTGTGGTGTGTTTTTCTTCCACTTCAGAAAGAGAAAATTTAGGATTTGGTACATACTAGTTTAATTAAAGGAATGTAGTAAAAGAAAAACAATTCTCCTGGGACAGCTGGGGAAAAGGCTTTGGTTATAGAATGTTGCTTTTGTCCGCTTTATTTTGCAGACTCCAGACTGCAGAGGTTAAAAAAGCTGTTTGTATCTAGCTAGCCTGTGAGATTTCCCCCCCCCCCAATAACAAGAGAATCAGTGGTCTTGAAAGGATGATACAGAGTCAATAGAAATTATGAAGTGGAGATTATTAGAATTATTTTGAAGTTGAATATTGGGAGAAACTTCTTAAGCTTTGCAATGTTGTGCCTGAGGGAGTCTGGAAATAGAAGACATGGTAGACTCACTTATCAACCTAAAGACTTAGAGGGAAAGTTAGCTTTCTTTCTCAAAAGTGTTGAAGCATTCATTGTTCAATGTGTCAATCTGGTAAATTTTGAATTCCTTTTCTGCTCCTGCAGAGAGATCCTTGCTTGGTCTGTCAGGTGAGGTAGAATCTCTGTAGTCAGCTTATTGATTTGTGTTCTTACTATTGTGTATATTATAAGCCGTCTCTTGACTTCACAAAATTCCCAGTAAAATCTTTTCAGGGGATTAAGAAAGGAGTCTGTGCTGCATTATTGGTAATGTATGTGTTTCCTGAGAATTTAACTTAAGAATATTAAAGTGTAGTTTTATCTTTGTTGTTGGGGGGGAGGAACAGCAAATGCACCAGTTTTGCACCATTTTTATATGTATTTGTTTATAGACACATTTGGAATATACAAACCCCCTTAGAAATAAAACTGTAAGTAGGAGGGAAATTCCCTTTAATATGGCAAGAATTAATCTTTCTCTCTTGTTTCTTATTCCTTAACACATAGCATTGTAAATGTTGACAGTGGTGGTGTTCAATAAATATTTGTTGACTAAGGAAGCAAAAAATCAAGAAAGATATTTGCTTGTGGCGTAGTAACTTTAGTGAGGGGAGAGGGGGCTTGACGATGAATTTTGATTTGGAGCTGTAGTTGTTAAAAAAAAAAGTATATTTGAAAATCTAGTAGTTTCTTGTTAGATTTGAAGACATGCTCAACGAGTGTTCATCTGTTAAATCCCTCAGAACCCACTTCCATGGGACAAAAGTGACAGGAAGAAAATGAAGGTGTGGGCAACTAAAAGTGGGAAGGCACTAGGGGTTTTGTTACCTGTGTAGTTGCATAGCATAATCAGTAGGAGGTTACCCCATATATTGGGCCTTATTTGAGTTGGAAGGTCAGAGGCTGAGGTAGAATGATTATCTTGGTAGGATTGATGTCGTTTTATTAAATAAATAAAAATATAAATTCCTCAAGGTTGTTGTTACCTGAATGTAATGTAATCAAAATTACTCATTTCCAAACAAATATTCAGGGATCAGGGATAATGAATGGTTTGTCTTATGGGTTAGTAGCCAACATACTTATTTTCAAAGGATTTTAGATAAAATGTTTTTTCACCTTCCTGTCAACATTGTTTAGGGATTTTTCTAATCCATTTTATAAATTATCTATGACTTTTTTTTTTCTTCATTACCTGTGTGTTTTGACATTTAGGTTTGTTTCTGATAAAAACCTTTCTTGGGAAAGGTGAAAGTAACTAAACTAAAATTAGACTTTTTTTTTTAAGCTGAAATTATTCCAACTATTCTTGGACAGCTTAGAAGCTTTTTTTTTAACTTCATTTTACTAAGCTTATTGTGCCAAATTTGGGTAGCCACTGGAGAGAGAGTGAGATGCAGACAAGGCAGTAGAGAGAGATAAGTTAGTGGAGACAGAGAAATGAGGTAGGGAATGGGGAAAAGAAGTATGAGCAAAGCTTCCAGACTATGGCTGCAAGTCACTTAAATTTACTCAGTTCTTTCCACCCAGCCCATTTTAACACTAGAAGGACCAGGCACATAAATTGACACAAAAATTTTATTATGATTTTACTTAGAAATAAAACTTTTCATTCTGTTTCTTTGTTTGCTTTATGAATTAAAAAAAAAAAGCACTGCCTATCACAGCTTGATACTTCAAGATACAATATTCTGATCCTTTTAGTGTTTAGTCTGTCTTTTTCCCCACTACTGAGAACTAGGCTCTGATTGGTGAGTTTTCATGTTGTCTTACATAGTCCGGGGTCCCCCATGCTATTTCTCAGCCATCACCAAAACATTGCCACTTTGAAGGTACCTTCTGCCATGTACAATACCTTCTACCCCCTTCTGACTCTTGCTTCTGTGTATGTGTTTTCTTTCCCGGTTAGAATGTCAGCTTCTTGAGGTCTTTCCTGTTTGTGTTTGTGTTTCTGGTGCTTAACACAGTGACTAACACATTTCATTTTATTGATTTTACTTCTACTCATACTTACTTTCCCCTTTTGCCTTAGATCCATTCTGACACACCTCATCTAAGCTTGTTACTAAACTTTCCCTGGTGTCAGGTAATGCTGATCTTTCCGTGTTCTCCTTGAAAGTCTCTCTCATTTTCTAGAATCCATCTCCTCTATTCTGCTATCCTTTGTTTCTTAAAAAAAAAATTATCATATGTTCCTAAAGTAACCTATTACCTAGCACCTAGTTTCCCTTCTTCTGTTGTTTTTTCTTGATTTTCCCATATCCTTGTCCCCATCTTGTCGCCTCTTTCTACCTCTTTTCACTATCAGGTCAAAGACTACTATAAAATTCAGAGTGAGGAAGAAAGATATTAAAAACAACATTTATAATCTTTTGGCAGGTGATAAAGAGAGTTACCTTTCTTGACCATGCTTAAAGGACCAAGAGCTATCTAAATCCTATTTACATTAATACTAGTCTTCCTACCATAGCAGAAACATGGCACTGTTCCAAGAATACTCTTTGAATAGCGTGTACCTTCTGTGAGCTTCCCATCTTAGAATCAGATAACTAAAGTATTTACATGAGACAGAATTGGGTTTTCCAGCTCAGTCTTGATTCCATAAAAGTAGGAGACCAAAGCAATTAGGAATACCAACTGTGTGCAAAGCATAGTACTAGTTGTTGAATATTAAGAAAGAATTTAAAACAACAAATCCCTTTCCCCATAGAATTTTCTAGGGGATAAGAAAAGCCAGAGATTCATTCAAAAAATATTTGAGGTGCCTACTGTGTGCCAGGCAGTGCCCTAGGTGGGGGACACAGAGATAAAATTGAAATTTCCAGCTCTGCCATCAAGCTTATTTTTTATTGGGGGGAAACAACATGTGTATGTAAAATCAAATAAAAATACAGTGTCCTAAGACTTTTTGGGACACTGTATATACAAAATAATTTTTGGACAGAGGAGCCCTAGCCAATGGGGATTAGGTGAACTATTAGATAACTTTCCTGTAAAAGGTGGCACTTGAGCCAAATTTTGAGAAGTAGGGATTCTATAGGATAACTGTAATGCACAATAGTGTATAACTGAACTAGAGAAATGTAAAACAGTGCTGTTAAGCTTCTTGGAAATTGTGATGAAGGAGGTTGCATTTGAGTTGAACATTAAAGGCTAGGTAAAAATTCAGCAAGTTAAAATTTCAGGGATAGGGATAGGGAATTCCTGGCATGGAGGTCGGAAAATAAAACTTGTTCCAGGGCCAGAGAGTAAGGAATAGTTTAACTAGATACTATAGAGTACATCTAGGGAATAGAAAAGCAGAGTTACTACAAATGGTAAAAAACCTCCAATGACAGGCAACATCAAAAAATTTGCATTTAGAAGTAGAGATAAATGTATAGTGCTAACAGTATATATGTTTCTTTTCATACATTTAATGCATTTTTAAAATATGTGTGATGTGAAAATCATAAGGGCAGAGTAATCTGCCCAAATATTTTTGTGTAATGTTTCCTTCACTCCATCAGCTCATCATATTTTACATAGTCAAGCAAAAGGGGGGAAATTAAGTATAGATGAGTGTTTTGCTAACATATATTCAATCTAAATGAATAGTAAAATCTTCATTAGCACAAGTTGCTCTGTAGGTTCTGGTTAAATGAGTTACCTGGAATCCCCTTTTTGTTTCAAACCTCATTCTGAAAACCTTTCTGAAATGTACCCTTTTTCGGTCTGTATTAAGAGGACTATAATTACCTTATTTTTTTAAATTTTGTGGCATTCCAGTGTCATATTCAAAATCAGATCTCATTGTTCAGTTTTTTAAGTATAAAGGCATGGATATTGGGCTAAACGTATACTTATTTCTCCAAGATGAATGAATTTGAGTGAGATTGTTTATTTTGGCTTTGAGATATTAGAAGGCAGCCATGCATTTCAGAGGATCCCATAGTACAAAAAGAAAGGCAACTGCTTCCTTCCTCCTCCTCCTCTCTTTTTAATAGGAGTGAGGAAGGTAAGTGAACATGAGAGAATAAATGCTTCACTCAGTTCTTTTTCTATTTTCATAAAGTTAAATATATTCTCTCTGTACTGGTTATTTTTTCTTATTTTAAAAGAGAATAAATCAAGATCTATAAGGTTCCCAGATTAAGATTTTTTTTTTCTGAGAGTTTCAGAAATATGTGTCTCAACTTGGATGATATTTTGGGATAGATAGAATTAAAAGGGAGGGTGTAAAGTGGTGACCCAAAGCTGTTGTGGGAGCTTATGTCTCTGTCTAGAATGCATGTACGCAGCTATGCGAGCTAATATGTATTTTGTTCTTTCTTAAAGGAGAATGGAGTTGATAGATATTTGGAGCTATGGGGGCATATGTATTACATTTTGAAGTGGTTTATGGAGAGAGTTGATCAGAGATAGCTCCTTGGCTGAGTTGCTGTCTGCATAGGCTGTTAACAATTGTTTCTCTGGCAGCAGATCTTGTTCATCAGGATTGCATCATCTCTGGGAGAATGGCCAAGGTCCGCAGCCCCGGTACAAAGACAGTCTGAAGCAGATGAGGCCTGTTCTTTTTCTGAAGCGGCTCTCCTCTTCCTGCCAGTCCTCTTCACAGCATTACTGAAGCACAGTTGTTCTGAATTTCTTTCATTGGATTGGCTCTTCACTGGACTCTGTCTCCCAGCTGCTTCCGGCTCACCTGGCTGATGCAATTTCTTTCTCTGAAATCTCTATTGGAATTGCTCTTATAATACTTTTTGTTTATTTTCTCTGGGAGTGGCCAGAAAGATCATGAGTTTTGTACATTCAGTAAGTCATGTCAGAATGACAGTAGCAGAGGCTGTTAGCCAATAAGGAAGAATCCTGTTCTAAAGGACAGGGGCAACTATCAACATTTTCTGGCCTGTTCTTTATAACTGCCTTCCCCAGTATGATGACTCCTCGAGAGTGTTCAGTCCTAAGAGATGTGCTGGTTCTACAGCCGGATCAGACAACTGCCTGTGGCTCCATGTGGATTCTGATGGATTCTTCTGGGAATAGTGATGCTGATGAGAAGTTCAGATTCTGCTACAGTCATGTTACCCTTACTATATACATGTACACTCCCTTTCTCTCCTTTTCTCTGTCCTTTATTCTTCTTTTATTGCTTATCACACATAATGGATACTATTCTCTCTGGTAATTTTCATTTTTCTGCTTCAGTACATTACTTCTCTTGCACCTATTCTACCTATAACCATCAAAATAAATGTTTTAGCCTTTGTATTTTGAGATTTTGACACCATTCTGATTGAACTGTTATTACTTTTCCCTATTTTTTTTTGCTTATTTTTAAAAAATTTCTTATTTATTTTTGGCAATTCTGAAGGTGCTTATGCTTTTGATCTTCTCATACTTTTTATCCTCTCGGCAATAGTTATTTTTAAGGTATACTGCGTCTGCCCAATTTTAAGATTAGGAAATCTATAAATAGAAATAAAATATATTTCATCTGTAATGCATGATCATTGAAACCTGGTGAAGACCTCTTTAATATGCTGTATTTGAGTGCAGGTATTATTGTGATGATTCTGACTAGTGTTAAATTTGGCAGATTATGGGGGGAAACACTGTTCTTTAGAGGGCTTTGGTTTACTGAAAAGTGAGCCCATTTTGATTCTGAAAGGAAGAATCAATTATTTTCTCTAAAAGCCCCGGTCACCTGCTTTTCTTTCTTTCATTCTTTTTCTTTTTTCTTTTTTTTTTCTTTTGGTAGATGCCTTATTTTGACCCTGATTCCAGTACCAAGACAGCAACAAACTCATCATAAGTTTCAAGGGACTTCTCCATGACAGGGGTCTGCCTTCTGTCACTCTCCCTTCTGCAGTTAGGCAAGATAAAATATGGTAGAGGGAGATGGGGTGGGCAGATGTGCTAATAGTAGTTATATGTCCTTTTTGTCAATTCTGAGTGACTTGATCATAGAAAAACAGCTGGGTTTTGGGAAAGGGTATTAGGCAAAGGAAACTTCCATAGTATATGATAAATGAAAGGAAGGGTAACCTGGGAAATATAAATGAAACTAAGGATTCAAACTTAAAGAACATGTTAATAGACAAGCCAGTGAGAGGGTATAGTAGTTGATCTTCTCTTAGTTAAAATAAATCCATTTCCTTTCCTTCTTCTTACTTTGTGCCAGGCTTTGTTAAGGTTGTCACAGTGAGGAGTTCAGAAGATAGCTGTAGCACTGAATTGGGCATGAGGACAGGGCATTAGTGGGTCTGGAATGGAGAGCCAGGAGGAGTTAAGCAAAATTCTATAAAAAATATTATTTCTTGGAAAGAACTGTCTTGGTTCAGTATTATATCCACCAGTGGCATTCCTTTCAATACTAATTATTTGTCTGTCAACTTTTTCCAGATCTTCAGAGGACACTGGCAAAGAGATTATTGGAACTTCACATCTGCTGGTCAATATAAAGGTGACTGAGCCAAATAAAATCCCTTGGCTGGTTTTCCTTTTTCCCGTCCTTTAAATTGACGTATTGCTACTTAGCAGATGCCTTTTCAGTGACCTCCTGTGTAACTGTTGAGGAGAGTGTATTATATATAGGTGTTCCTGTCCTTCTCTCCAAAGCACCTCTAACATGTTTGAAATACGGCGTCTAGAAATTGAGTCTGGTATTCCATACTGGGAATCTCTCATTTACTTACAAAGCTCAAGTAATTATAATGCCTGGTTTTGCAAATAAATATGGGTTATTAATGACCTAAAATTTATTACTTGTATTACTTTTTATAGAGCACAAGCATCCCTTTCTACATGGGGCCTTCCCTGATTCCCTCATTTACTAGTGCTTCTCCCAACCTGCCAAAATTACTTTGTACTTTCTTAGTATGTATTTTGTATTTATTTTGTATTGTACATGTTTCTCCCACAGAACATAAGCCCCTAGGTGACAGGAACTGTTTGGTTTTTTCTGTCTTTTTGTCTCCAGCACCTAGCATAGTACTTTACTATGTAGGCACTTAAATGCTTGTTGATTGATTGAGGGCAAGATTAGGGAGCACACAAATTTCTCAGTGGCAAAGAAGTATAGGATTTGAGTTTAAACATCCCAGTCCCTCATTTCACTCACAGTGGGAGACTATAATTTAGAATGAGAGTGGCCCAGCTGATGTATTATGGTTTATTTGTTTGGGGAATATGAGGCATATGATGTAGGACAATTTTTATGGAAGAAAAGATGGAAACTTGCTTCTCTTCTCTTGGTGCTTCAAAATGAGATAGACTGTATCAGAAATCCACATGGAGAAATTTGATTATTAGCTGAATTTCCATTAAATACTTAAAATTAAAAACAGTTGGCTGCTATTATCAAATTCTCATCCTTCTGTTAAGCCAATATTTTTTTTTTGAGGAGATGGTACAAAAGAATGCTTTACTGAGTTTAAAGTTAAAGCAAATGATTATTCATAGATATTTTGTGCTATTTCCTCATTTGTTTTACCTGGCAGTGTTTATACTGACTCTAACCCTTCCCTTCATCTTCAAGTTTGACTGTTAATAAGCCAACCGTCGGAAAATTTCTCCCCAGAAGAAAAATATCAAGCAGCAGTTTAGGTTTACCAGGCTGTATTTGACTCAGAACCCTAGATTACTCTTTTGACATGTTAGGAGCATAGTTAAGTGAAAGAAAAGATATTTAGTGAGTTTGAGGGTTTTTCTTTCACTGCAATTATAGTACATGACTCTTAAACTTGCTGTGCTTATCAAAAGTGGTATGGTCATGACCACCCTTTCCTCTGTTTGTTTTATCTGTCTTGGGCAGCTTCTCTTTCACTTTGACCGGATTAATTTGGCTCAAGATTTTAAAGTATGGTAGAAATCAACCCTCTCCAAGACCCAACTATACCCCTGTGTTATTAGAGAATGCTTGCTTTGTCTGTTGTGGGAAATTCTATGTCAATATAAATATTTGGTGGGAGTGGAGAAGTAAAAATCGTTTCAGAGTCAGTCTGAAAATGATGGTAGGAAAAGGGAGATAATTGGGGTTAGAGCAAACAGTTACTTGTGGACAAACTTATTTATTAACTCTGCAAGCACACCAATAAACCTGTCAACAGAAGCACATCAGCCAGTTCCTTCCTATCCATGAACTATGAGGAAGAGATGACAGGGTAATAATATTTAACAGTTATATACTATTTTATAGGTTATAGAGCCCTTACCTTATAACAGACCTATGAGGTAGGTAGAATAAATATCCCCATTTTACAGATGAGAAAACAGACTAATTTAGTAAGTGATGAAGAAAGCAATCAAATTAGAAGTCTTTTGCTTTTGAGTGTGATCTTTCTAGTCTGCTTCTTTGATCTCTGACGCTTCAGCCCTCTCTTTTTTTGCCTGGGTACCTCAGTTTCCTGCTCCTGAGTAGAACATAGGTGGAACTAGTAGCGTAACCCAGAGTAAGAACCCAAATTGCCAGAAATCCAGAAAAATTAAGTGGAATGTTTTTACTCCTAACTGGATAGATTTATTTTGTACCCTGTGCTAGGCGAACTTCTTGCTTGTAGTAACTTCAGGATTCTGAAGTAATAATCAAAAGCAATAATACCTTTTCCCATTTTCTTAATAATATAAGAATTATTGAAGTATTTGTAAAGATCCAAGATTACATTGGTATGAGTACCCCTTTCACTAAGAGCACAATGCTGCCAATAAAGACCAATTTATGAGCAGTTGGGCCTCCCTTTCTTCCCCTCCTGCAAAACCATGACCTTAGGACCAATTTTTCGATGGTAAGCAAGTCTTAACTAGATTGACATGTTTAGCTCAGAAAACAGACACAGCATTAATGGGCCAGTAGTTGAATCCTTTTTTGATTGATAGGTCTTGCCAAAGCTTGTGTTTTTTACCTTTGAGAATCCTGACCTTCTTTCATTCCAGGATGAGGCATTCTCAGACTGGGACTTTAGTAGAGATCATGCAGAGATTTTGGAGCCTATGAAATTTTTAAGATATTCAGAAAATTTGTTCTACCTTGATATGAAGACAAATTCTCTCTTACTCCATTCATCCTCAACTGGTCTTGTCCAGTCCCATTTGTTTCAGTGTATGTGTTTCAAGTTTTAAGAATTTAAATTGTCAGCTATTCTAGATATGGCTTCAGTTTCCTTTTTTGTTTGTCTGCTGAGTTGATTTAATACAGTTGACCTCTTGATTTCTCTTCTTCTGGTCAGTGGCCATTTGGCATTTCAGAGGGCTGTACCATAAACAAGAATTCTAAAATTTCATGACCAAAAGAGACCTTAGAGAATGTCTTGTCCATTTGCTTCATTTTTTCAATTGAAAAAACTTAAGACCTAAAAAGGCTGAATGACTTAAACCATAAAATAAATTAATAGTGGAGCTGAGCTAAAACTCAGATCTCCTGACTTCCAGTCCAGGGATCTTTTTCATACATAACATTGCATGGATGCAACATCTTTGCATGGATTCCTTTTCTCTACATCTTTTTGTCTTATTATGAACCTTTTATCTTATTCACCTTGAACTTATTGCCATGCAAAGCACCTTTTCTATTCTGAGAAACTTGTGTTTTTATACCTAATCAGTCCTTTTCATAGTCATTGTCAAGTACCCTTTTTACTTAATATTTTAATCATCTTTTTGGTTCTTGGTTCATATCACTGCCCCCCCTTTTTACTTCAGCAGTTTAATAGATCTATTCCTTCATGTTACTAGATTCCAGTAGTTTGTGGGAATCGATACATCTCAATCATTCTCCATTTCTTTTCTCATCATTCTCCATTTCTTCTTTGTCTTAATGTGTATTGAATGCTTTTTCGTGTTGAATTTGCTATTTTCCTTTATCATAAAGGTGCCATTTTGTGATTTATGTATTTTTTATTCAAATCTGGCAATATTGGCTAGCCAAAAGACTTAGCAGTTGAGTCTATTAATCCTCTGCCCTTTCAGAGAATCATTAAAGTAGAATTGTGAGAATATGGAAAAGAAGTCTGTGAGAAACAAAATAATAAGAAACAACAGCTGTTTCCAATCAGATTGAAACTACAAGCAGATTGGTATTTGTTAATTAACACTGACTTAGGGAAAATGACATTATTGGTTGCTAGCAAAAGCTGAATTTAACTGTTGCTAGGAGATGAAAAGTTGAATGAAGACAATAAGCCATTAGGGAGTTAAGTGAAATTGTTACCTTTCTTCTAGCAGTCACAAAAGGCTTCTTATAAAAACTTGTAAGTTAGGCCCTGAGGGCTAGTGGATAGGTATAGATGGAAAGTGACTGGAAAATCAGCTTGGGAACAAGCTCAGCAGTTGAATAGGCACTCTTCTGTGTAGAAAACTCTTTAAGAGGAAAAGAAAGGGTCTTGGTGGTTAGGTACCCACTTGAAACATTTACCGAGGCCCTAGAATCTCTAATTTAAAAAAGAGGGAAGGACAGGAGTAGGCCACAGTTGGTTTTTTAAAACTATGCAGCTTAAAAAATGAAATATTCATGAAATGCCCTGCCTTCTGTCCCAGGATTCCTCATGTCCCTGACATGTTGCTTGAGACTCTGCGGCTCACCCCCGCTCTCAGAGTGGCCAGTCTCCATTAATTGGACCCCGTGATTTCCATCTACTGCTGTGTTGGACGTCATGAGCATTGCAGTTCCTCTGGGAGTCACCACACCAGATACATCGTACTCAGATATGGCTGCTGGTTCAGAGTAAGTGCCACTTCCCCATTTTTTAGAAATTAGG